AACCAGATTCTTAGGTTTTACGTATTAGTATACTCTTACTTTGCAGTTTTTGTATTTTTCTCAGAAATGAGATATTTTCCCGCGGTAAAAAGTATCCTATATGTTGACTCAAATAACCAGCTATCACCATACCAAATTTTATCAAAATCCCTCCAGTGGTTTTTCTGTGATGCGGTAACAGACAGACAGACAAAAATTCTAAAAACTATAGATTCGGCCTCTGTATCGATAATAATGTCTATTTCAATAAAATTATCCAAAAAATATTTCATGTACAGATTCGGCTCAGTTAGAATTTTATTATATGTTTAGATTAGTCATCCTACTGTCCGTCTCGGCCGTATTGTTAAATTAAGTCGGATTCATTATCTTATTCAAATTTTGCTACGTATGTATGTATGTATTGTTAGTCAAGTATATAATTATCATAATTTCGGACTATCAAGTACCGCGAGTCCATAAACCTTTTAATTTACTATATTACATAAAATGAAGACTAATATGTGCGTTTTATCAGTTGATAAAACACACAGAATAAAAAATAGTATTATATAGTTGTGTATTTACAATACTTATATCGCTAAATATTTGATTTAAAAGTCATGTTTCCTGTTCCACACATTCTGCTCAGATATCTAAGACACGCAATCTTTCACAGCATTTTCCCAGCATTCTGCAATTCAAAGTGGAAGAACGATTATTTGCATACATATCATGTTAATACAAGTTTTTTATCGGAAAAGGTAGTCTCAGTATAAACGGGGAAGTCATTATATTTGCATACTTTATATAAGTCCAATAGAAAAGTTTCTATTTAACAGTTTTCCCTTTTCGTTTTATTCGTAGTAGGATACTTCGGAAGATTATATTGAATCTCAAGTTAATTTGGATATGTTTTGATTTACACTTAGCTGCTTAGTCAGTCATCATTAAAATTCGTTTAGTCGTTTTCAAGAAAAAAATTTAAGTTATAAAAAATCTCAGTAGGTACTGTTAATTTGCCCTTATCTATACCTATACCTACCTATATATAATAAAATTCTAACTGAGTCGAATCTGAACATTAAATATTTTTTGGAAAATCTTATTAAAATAGCCATTATTATCGATACAGAGGTCAAATCTATAGTTTTTTAGAATTTTTGTCTTTCTGTCTGTCTGTCTGTCTGAGAATGCATCACGTGGAAGCCACTGGATAGATTTTGATAAAATTTGGTATGATGATAGGTGGTTATGCGGGTCAACATATAGGATATTTTTTATTGCAGGAAAATATTTCATCTCTGAGAAATCTATACTAAACGTTAAAAGTAATTAGGGACGAACCCGAGCAGAGCGAGGGTGGGTCGCTAGTACAATATATTCCTGAAATCTAATTCAATTTTATCATCTGTAACAATAAAATAAAAAACTTGGTTGCGAGAAAAAAGACCACGGACTAACTAACCACTATATCATAATATTACGAAGAATTCCAGTAATTTTCCTATAAAATATCTATACTAGTATAAATTGACTGCGTGATAACGTTAAATGCAAGTAATACATTATTCACGAAACACGACCTCGGTTCGAAGTCAATGTTTTAATGGTCATCTTAATAACCGCTAACTAGTTCACAATTTGCGATTTAAATTATTGTCATTTAATTAAATATTTATATCTAATCGGAATTCTTAATATATGTAATACGAATTTGAATTTTAACTACTTTGGTGGTCTAGTGGCTAGCGTGTACAGCTGCATATCCTGGGTTCGAGTCTCGGGTCGGGTCAAGTTGAGCCTTTCTGTTTAGAAAGCCCCCCAGTACAGCTTGGAGTCTGGAAGATGGCGGGCGCCGTGGGTGGAATCGTTCAGGAAGATATCAGTACGAATTTGTGCTTTTTGAATTTTTTACAGCTAGGGAAGGATGTATTTTGTGTCTTCACACAAAAAATCACGCCAATCCGTTACTCTGTTTCAACGTGAAAGAAGGACAAGCAAACACAATTTCATATTTATAATATTGAGTACGGATTCACGCAAAGTATTAAAATTTAATGACATCATCATTACTATAATGTGGGATCTATAGTTTATTTTTTTGTAATTTAAAATGTTTTATTTTATAATTAACGTGTTTAGATCGTTTAGAATTTAGATGAAGCATAGGTCGAGTGTGGGCGCTCACAAAGGTTAGGTTGAAAATATTTGACGTTATATTTTTTCTCTTTTTACATATATTCTTAATAAATGATTTGGAGTTTGACTGAATGGTTGTATATCTTGGTATCGATAGGTCTCTTGAGACGCCGTTTTTGAATTCATCTGAAAATGTTTTTTAGAGGTTTCTTAGGTTACGTTTCTCCTTTGAATACATTCTATTAAACTCTAGAGGTATATCATGTAAGTATCTATTTGTTTTTGTTACCGTTTATAAAACAGGTGCTTAAAGTCTTATTTTTTATATACCTATTGTATAGAAACACCCTTGAATTATAAGTTATGACCTATTATTAAAAAAATATTACGCGTATCGTTCTCAATGGTTGAAGATATCGTATAACATATCAACTTACAAACAATCGAATGGATTCGATTGTACATCCCTCTCTTTTTTGAATTCGGTTCAATATTACTCTGTTGTTAATAGAAAAGTAAGTTTCAAGATATCTAAAGTTATATACTAGCAACATCCTTGATCTTTTCGCATATTAGTATTCAATGGATGTTGCCAAACATTTAGTTTAATGTTTTTGATGGAAGAACCTTCCTTCCGATCTCTAGAGATTATGCATGACGTCTTATCTAAAAAAGCTTTTAAATAAAATTCTGAAGCAGTGACGATGAATACCAAACTTATATTTGAGTTACTGTAAAGAAACATTTTTTTTTATTCCATTTGTGGTTGCTACAGCGTCTGTTTTACGAATAGTTGCTAATAACTATATGCTTATAAGTTTTTTTTTAATATTTTATGTATGAAATCAATTTATGTATATATTACGAGCGGGTTTTAAGACCTTGGCAGTGTCATGTTACATATGATGTTTACTTGTGTCTTGTGGCCTAGTAAACTGTAAGTATAGGTACATAGAAAATGACGTGGACAAAGGTGGACTTATCTCTATAAGACATCTCTTCCAGTCAACCCATGTGTGGGAAATAGTGTAAAGTAGCAAGACAGAGAGAGAAAGTATACCTATATAAGTAATATAGTACCTACATTGATTTATACAATCACAACAAAACGTTTGTGACAGAATTCATGCATGTCTGTTTATCCGATTTTATATAAGAAACAAAACTGGAATGCAAAATTAATTTTCACTTGTCCATGTATGCAGTAGGTACATATATTTAAAAAATAGGACGTCAATTTTTTCTCTAAATTATCTTTCAAATTAACCACGATCAAGATAGTAGCTTTAGAGTTATTAAAAACAGTACTTATGTATATAAAAAATATGCAATACCAGAAGTAATAACTACTTAACAAACTTAATAACATGTAATTATCTATGAGTTTAAAGACCTGCAGCTGTACCACTTACATCAGAAAAACTTGCATAAGACCTATCCACCTATATTGAGATTCGAAAATCTTGTCATTTCCTTTTACTATAACCGTACTTGCTATATCAAAACTACTTGACAACATTATTTGAACGATTTGAAAATAAACTATTGACTTGCCCCAGCTTTACCCGTTAGCCATTTTTAGGGTTCCGTACCTACCTCAAAAGGAAAAAATGAAACCCTTATTTCTTTGTCCGTGTGTCTGTCTGCCTGCATGTTTCTCAAGACCCTTTTTCTCAGGAACGCGTGGAAGTATCAAGTCGAATTTAATATTAAACAATCAGGTCTACAATCTCTTGTGGCTGTTAAGCCAATCAAAGGATGCAATTGTTTATGCTATATATTTTGCACATTTGCAAGGAGTTCATGAAACAAATATGATAACATGAAACATATATGATACTTTTTATTGCGAGAAAATATTTCATCTCTGAGAAATCTATACTAACCGTTTAAACGTTTCTAGCGACGAACCCGAGCGGAGCGAGGGTGAATCGCTAGTATTATATATAATTAAAAGTCATTTATAGATAAATGCTTTTAGCGAACTTTGTGCATTAAAAATGAATTATAATATAAGATTTCTTACGAAAAGAGCATTCTTGCGGTAATTCGCAGAACAGAAAATACTCGCACACCCAAAGTTATGTACACATATGCTAACACTTAAAGTTATTATATTATACTAATATACCTAGATCTTTTAATCCACAATTTCGTAATAGTATTGTAGTGTTGTACAAATGTACACGTTGATCGATTTCGTACGTGCTTATCTAGATCGTACGTAACACTGATGTGATGTATACATGTAGTATTCACGTCGTTGAGAAACCGGTTTTGAGAAATAATTTTGTCACAATGTCGATTTGCTAATCAGCAAGAATAAAAATATATTTTATATAACATATAGAAATCTTGCCTTACACAGCGGCCCTCAAACTTTTGATGACTTTGTGAAGTAAAATTATAAACAATAACGTTTCATTTTAACGAGAGATAGGTATTAAGTTTTTTTTTAGTTCTGACCAAATTTAAAAAAAAATTAAGGAAGTACCTACTTAAATGTTACCGCGATACCTTTTCCCTATTGTGAATCGATTTTCGTGATTTTTTAAACGAATACGTTATAACTTAAGGGTATTATGCATTAATTCCTGTTTTAAATTAGAACTTTTAAAGTTATTTCGAAAGCCAGTGTGTTGTTATCAACAGTAACGATCAATCATAAAAGAATTGGTAACAAATTACTTTTTTAATCGATATTGTTATCAAATATCATTAAAACTCGTGCTCAGCTGCATACGTTTTATATAATTACTTAAAAAATATTGTCATTGTTTTTGAACCTCTTCAATAGCAAGTATTAGGAAAAAGTCAATTTATTAACTTGACTACAAATAACCATTTATTAACTATTTTCTATGTCTATATTGTTGCAGGTTTTCTTTAGCGTGTGAAAGAAGACACTGTTATGATAAGCTACAATGGACTCGTAAGAACATTTAGTAGAAAACGTGGTAAAATACAGCTTGAAATGTGACTGTGACATAACTGATTGGGTTTTAGTTCCACACCAAAATGAAGCTAAATTTGTTTAAACGATCGATGATCTTCGCGACGTTTTTCGGGTCTTGTCTGTGTATAGCTTTAATAGTAGCGTCTTTGGGAACTACGCATTGGGTGGATGCGAGGGCGAGGCGGCTATCCAATCCTTTGGAATCGGAGGGACGGATCAGTTTTGGTCTGTTCGAAGGGCATAAGGAACTAAATTATGCATATGGATGGAGGCTCCATGATTTAAGCAGTGAGTGAGGATTTTTTTATATATATGTAGATTAAATGATAGGAGTAGTCGACGAAATTCAAAGATATTTTCAAGGGAAAATCAAAAGAAACAAAAGATAAAACAGTGTGTCATAATGGAGTTACATACATACAAAATTTCGCATTTAAAAACTAACTAAAACTAAAAGTGGTGGTGTAAACTAAAAGTAAACTAAAGTCGAATTAATATTATGCTATTCCAAATTCGGGTATCCAACCATCTCGTCGGTGGGCATGGTGTGGAACAGCCGCACAGTTAGCAGTAGCTTTAGTGGCCTATATGTTACACCACGTTATAATTTATCTATGTACTAAGTTTCATCCAAATCCGTCTAGCCGTTTCAGTAAGAAGGAGTAACAAACAAACATACATAAATACATACATACATACAAACCGCATTTATAATAGTAATATAATATTATGATTTTTCCAAATTCTAGTAAAAGCGGGTACCCATCCAGCTCGTAGATGGGCATGGTGTGGAACAGCCGCACAATTAGCGGTAGCGTTAGCGGCCTCTGCCGGCGCGTGTATACTCGCGGCTCTGGGCTCTGCGGCAAAGACGAGATGCTCACCACGACCGCTTTTGATATGTAATGGGGCTGTTGGTGAGTCTATGTTAATGTATATTTATGTCATGTTTCATGGGTTTTAATGTTTTTGCGCGGAGAACAATAATTCTTTTTCTAAAATTAAAGTAGCCTAAGTTACTCCTTGTAATATCAGCTATCTGACAGTGAAAGTCCCATTAAAATCGGTTCAAACGTTTTGGACATTAGCCGGAACAAACAGACAGACAAACATTTAAATCCTTTTTTTATTTCTTATAAGTATCGTACATAATTTCATATGTATTTAGTAAAAAGCTGTTATTTTGACATTACATATTATGTAAACTTGAATTTTATCTGTACAGATAATATTTTTGTTACGGAAGACTGGTCTCGTAACACAGGCACTACTTGCTTAAAAGGAGATGACAAACATTGTTGTGTTGAACTTGTTCTTGCTAATAATTATGTATTACAGTCATTTATTTTTTAAACCATTTAGCTTTTTATTTTTGGTCGACTTTAAAAACAATAAGTAATTAATTTGGGCGTATTCCCTTTTTTGTTGGAAAACTTTTAAAGTCATTGATTTTGATTTTTTTGAAGTTATTTATTAGATTATTTATAGGGGTGGCATGATAACTTTGTGACCAAACCCCTTTCAAAAAATAGATTTAATAATAATTTATTAGATTATTAAAAAATAATGTTTCATTATATCAACATATAAGTATTGACGCTTAGACCAGTTCCATTTGCATATGTTACAGTGAAGTGCCTTGCACTTTCGAAGTATGTGAAAAATACCTAAATAAACTTGTGAATTTAGTAAAAGACTTTCAAAATCTTTCTCATCTAACTATCCTAATAAAATTTTCATTTATATTTCATTTCTAATAATATGCATAACATAATTACACGGGTGTTACTCCAAATCGGCGAACACTTTTGACGAACCCTTTACACTAAATAATAATTCTACTAAATCTGGCAGACGTGCTGTCTAAATTACAATTCATGTATTTAAGATCTTTGAGTTTATACGAAAGTCCTATAGAAGAAAGCACTTTTAATTTTTCCCAATATTTCCTCCCTCCCAAAAAAATTATTCGGGCTATTACAATCATTCAAAAAAAGCCAAATCGGTCTAGCCGTTCTCAGGTGACTTGCTTACCCACGAACAATATTTCATTTTTATTAAGGTTTCGTACCCGAAAGTTGCCAACGGTGCAAAACGGAACCTATTACTAAACCCCCGTTCTACGTCTGTCTGTCCGTACGACCGTCTGTCAGAGGGCTGTAACTCATGAACCGTAATAGAGTTGAAATTTTTACAGATCATGTATTTCTATTGCCGTTATAATAACAAATAATAACAATAAAAATACAAGAAACATTTTTTTAATGTTAGTAATCGATCATAGAAGTTAATATACTTACTACATACATAGAGTAATAGTCATATTAATAAAAAGTGCATGTACGATGTTACGGAACTCTTCGTGTGCGAATTCGACTCGTACTTGACAGATTTTTTTTTATTTGTATAGATACACATTTTCCGTCTGTTCATTATTTTTTTATTAAATATTGCATTTTTGTTTTCTTTTCAGTGCTGTTCACTTTGGGTGCGATGGCGGTATGGTTGACGGAATTCTTCCTCAGGCTTCAACACAACGTCATGTCTGATGAAGACCTGGCTAACACCTGGACTTCCGATATGACGGCTGATCTTGGACTGTCTTTTTGGTAAGATTTATTTGTGTAGAATAGTCTAGGTCTTATTTAATTTGGGGTAACACTTTAACTGACTACTGACTAGCAGTGGTAGCCTAGTGGTAACGCGCTCGCTTGGGACACCGAATGAAACGGGTTCAAATCCCCGGTCTCGCCCCTTATATAGTATTTTTATGTGCGAATCATTTCTAACATGATTACTTTTTAAATAATACTATCTTTTCGGATATTTTCGCGGATTTATTTTAATTTTTTTTGGTTCCTGACGTTTCGAATTCTTTACAGCAATCATCAGGTCGCGGGAAACTAATGTTTTAGATATCTCAAAAGTCATTATATACTTATTGCAGACAGAGCTTACCCACAATTTTACAAAATGATTTCAAAATCCGAAAAGATAGTTTTATTTAAAATGTCAAATATTCGCGTAAATCTAAGAAAGTATTTTGATTACCACTTGCCTTACGTTAAAACATGGTGACGAAACCTGCATGGTTGAGAGAACCTACCAAGTTTTGGAAAGACATGTGAAGTTGACTAACCTGCACTGGCGTGGCACCACACAGCGTGGTGGACTATGGCCTGATCCCCCTCGTATTGAAGGAAGGCCCACCCCCAGCAGTGGGACCTTAAATAGGGTTGAATATAAAAAGAAATGCAAGTTATATTTTTCTTATACAGTTTTACTAAAAATTGCCTATTACTTTCAGGTTGGTAGTAGCATCTTCGATAGCAGCTTTCGTAAATAATGTATGTATTCTCATCGCGGCGACAGACGGGCGTGATGCAGACACCATTGCGCCGGCCTTAGAGGAGAAGGTCAATGGAGCTATCATGTTATATTAGTAACAGACTAACATAGTCTAAGATCCGAAGTAAGGTCGTTCTTTTCTTATCTGCTAAGAAAAAATATTTTAATATGTAGGATGACACTAATAAAACTTCGATATATTCCCTGCATATATTCTTAAATTCAGTACTTTTGCAACATCAACTTAATTCTTTTATAATCGTCAGTACGTCTGTCCGTGTGAAAGCTACCACCGGCTCGGAGAGCAGTTCTGCTGAGAAGAGCCGGCAAGAATTTCAACAGTTGCTCTTTTAAATAATCATTTACATAATTTATATTAACAATTTACAGTATTACAAATAATTCATGACTTGTGACTACAAGTTGATACCGACATCTTTTCTCAAAAACACGGGAAAACAAATGAATATCCGCGTCCTTTTTATTTATTTTTTAAATACATTTCTAACGACCAAGGTCATATAAGTTATTATTTTATACATAGCTTATTACTATTTAGTCAAATATATTATTTTTTCGTTATAACGCTCATATATAAAAATGCAACCTTACAAATACATCATGTTTTTAATTACACGATCTTTTCGGTTTTTTTCACGGATATATTTTGATTTTTGGTTCTCGAAGTTTCGAAGGCCTTACAGCAGTCATGGTCATGGGAGAAATTCTACCGAAGCAATCCGAAAAGATAGTTTTTTTTTAAATGTGGAATATTGGCGTAAATCTAAGAAAGTATTAAATACATAGGTAATGCTTTTAATCCGCCTAGCAGATGAGCGAGGGTAGATTGAACAACGGATCTTAGACTACAATACGTAAAATTTTGAATTGTGAGCACAGATCGATATGAAACTTTCGGCCTATGATTTTTTTTGAAGTACCTAACGTCTTATTAATTGAATTTGGGCCAGTTCCACCGTATTCTATTAGATAATGTATTAAAATTAGGAAATTATTTTAACGGTCTGTTAAGTGGCGAGTGTTCATTTATTTTCGGATTTCTTAATCACGGATCTATAGATCCTCTTATCGATCATAATTTTATTATAGTTATTTATGAATGTGAGTTATAGTGATGTTAACTGAGGGTATAATTAATGGCAAAAAAGGAATTTGATGTTATTAGCCTTTATGTCAAAAGAATTTTTTTATGTCACTAGATGGCAGTGTTCCATTCCATAAAATATTGCGATTTTCGATCAAATAATCGAATAAATAGAAAAATTGAATAAAAAGATTATTTAAAATTAATAATTAATAAGCAACAAATAAATAAATGACCCGATAGACGAATAACGTCTTATGAACCTACTTTTATTTAAAGTCAGTCAAAAGGACTTATAAAATAAAGGTCACATTTCGTGCCGATAAATACACCAATGACCAATATTATTTGAGCCCATATAACTTCTTTTATTATATGTACATATATTATTGTATTATCATTGTTATTATAAGGATTTTGTATTGATAATTAATTTATTTTTACTATTTTTCTATAAAATAAAATTTTATTATCTTACAAATCCTAGGGTTGTCAATATAACGGTTTTAAAGTAACTCATATGTTCTTATTCTTATACGCGTAGATTAAAAAAAAATGTGTGTGTATACCTACTTATGTCCGCACGTAACAAGGTATACTTCTTCGGCGTAACAGAACAAAAATAGCTAAAGATTTCATCCCGATGTCACAACTCTCTGTTTGTAAAAGGAATGCAGCTAACTTCATCATGTCGCTTTTTAGCTCATATTTTTTTCCAAACATGCCAAAATAAATATAAATTCAAAAAAACACTAATTAGCTTTTACAAAATTTAGTAACCTAATGTGGGATAAGAATAAAGAGCATTCAAGGATTGTGTGATTTTAGAAATAAAAAAATTATGATTATAATTTTTCCTAATATTTCTACATTTTTGTTACTTATAATTAAAATTGACAACCCTAATATTAATGAAATTCAAACACAATTTCGTAATAAATAATATTGTATAAAAATTGAGTTACAATAAGGCAAAGTGCATTTATAGCGTACTTCGTTTTTTTACTTTCGGTCACTTATTTCGTATCGTATTTTCTAAATGTATTATTTTGTAATATGTACAGAGTTTTGATTTTTTATAGCCTTTTACGTTTGTTGTGTGTATCATTTTTAGTTTCAAAAAAAATAGTTTTTTTTTAATATGAATTGAAACCAAGATAATTAGCAAATAAAACCTTTTCTTTATTGTCATATATAAATAACATAATATATTTACATTTGGGGATAAAGTAAAAAAAAAACAAATTCATGTATTTAATCAATTTAGAAAAAATATTATAATAATACTCGAATTTAAAGATCTGATTTCTACTATTTCTATAAAAAGTGATAAATAAATGCTCAAGTATTAAATATTTCAATAACTCATGATTTTAATTATTAAAAAAGTTGGAAAAAGTATTGTCAAAAAAAAAACCTTAAAAAGAATCAAGTCTCACAACTTTTTGTATGTAATGGCGCCACTTGTTTATAGTGAAAGAACATATCAGATGTATTTAACTAAACGTTAACTTAGTTCTTAGAAGATAAAAACTTGACTTTAATAAAGGTAATCTATACCATATCCTTTTCAGTTTTACATTTCACTCGCTTTATGATGTTTTCACTTCTAAAGTCCCCTATCAATGAATTTTTCTTAGTATAAACTAGCGACTTATTTGGTTTGTTTTAGCTGAACCCTAATTCTTTTTCCATAATAAAAGAAACCTAAATATTTCCTTATAACGTTCCTTATAACGTTAGACAAAAATGATTCTTATAAGTACCGTATATAATTTCACATACATTTAGTAAAAAGCTGTTATTTTGACATTACAAACAGACACTTTAATTTAATTTATTAGATGTAATCGAATCAATCAATATATAAAATTTGTTTGAAAATTATACTCTACTAATAATTCTTTTGCTGTTGACTTCATACATATGTTAGTGGCGCCATCTGTGCTGAGGTTCTGTGAATATTTACAGATTATAAACAATAAAGCGACATAGAAACTAAATGACAAACTTACTAAAAGTATATTTTAGTACTTAATTTGTAAATTGTAAGGCTGAATGCTATTTCTAAGTGTGATTCCGTCCATTTTTAAATGTTTTTACAAAGTGTAAGTGATTCTGTCCATTCTTAATTGTTATTACAAATAATATGAATCTCTTTATTATAACGTTTTTTGCTTTGAGTTTGAATATGGAACTTTGCTGCTCAATGTTGCCTGTTTTATGCATATAAAAATAAAGCTCAATTTTTTCATTAGAAGTAATTTTTTTCAGTATTGACTAAAGTTATTTTTTATATAGAATAATAAGTCAACAATTCAAAGATATAGAATAAAATAAACTATGTTTAATTTATAAAAGTGATCTGAACTACTTTTTAGTGCAACTAAAAATTCTTAAATTGTTCAAATTAATTAAATTTATCATTTTTTTTAATTCATTCAATAAAACGGACCTCTTGCGTGTCAATATTTAACCCAAACAACATTGAAATGACAAATAAGAATTTATTCTTCATGAAAATGTATTGTTATGTGTATTATTCATTGTATAGATGCAAAAAGTTCACCTAAAATACAATTAATTCTTAGTAAATCTTTTTTTTTGTAAAATTTAGATGTAAACTAGACTAAAAGAATAAGATAGATGGAATGAGCAGAAGACATTAGTTGAAATCTGAAACGGTATTATAATTTAGATGTAATTAAATCAATTGCCCTGCTGTGAAGTACTGAAAGCTTAGTAATGGGTAAATTTGTGTAAGTTTATGCAAAATAAACATAGAAATAAATAAATATCATCAAAAAAGAAAAAGGTGACATTTGATTTTTTTATCAGAACTGACATTAGGTATCCGCCATTTTTTTCTAAAATAGCGGCGCCTAATGAGAATGGTATGGATAAAGGAGTATACTTTTAGGGCGACAAAATGCTAAAATTTTTTTTATTTGTTTAAGTGTCTTCTATGCATGCCATAGCTTAGATAAAATAAAAAAAATGCAGAAGTTTGACAATACTTTTTTTATGACTTGAATAGTTCATTTACTGTTAATAATCTATCTTATTCTCTCAGTTTGAGCCTGTAAATGCTTAAATATGACTTAGAATTTTGGTTTTCTTCTATTATTATATGTTTGTATTTTAATTATTAGTGCCATTAGGTTAAGACTGTTGTAATTACCTTTCCGTCGAACTAATTTATATTTTGTAACTTTTTATCGATTGTGAAATTATCTTCTTGAATAAATATTAATCATTCATATTGTGTTTTATTGTCACTCTAGAAGTATAAGTGGGTAATAAAGTTATAATAACCTGTGCCACCATGACAGCCTTCAAAAGTACCGGGCTTTGAGCCCATGAAATATATAAATATAAACATAATAAAAACTTTTTTGTACCCTCAAAACGAACAAATATTAGTATGTTATTTAGAAACTTACAAGAGGCGGCTTTATCGCTCAAACAATCCAAAAAAATGTGGTGTTCGAAATAATAAAGTACTAATAATTGTTCTAAATTTATGATATAAATATCTCGTGTCAAGGTGTATGTGATTTTAATGATTTTTTTTGTATACTTTGTAGGTATGAGAATAGGTCGTAAAGTATTTTTTACGTAAAATTAAAACTGTGTTATTAAACTATACTAATATTATAAAGAGACAGAGTTTGTTTGAACGCGCTCATTTCAGGAACTACTAATCCGATTAGAAAAATTATTTTTGCAATTAGATAGCCCGTTTATTGAGGAAGGCTATAGGCTACATACCATCATGCTGCCTCAAGGTAGCGGAGTAGTAATCATAAATGTCAACAAATCGGGCAGACTTCCATACATTAATGTGAAACTAATTTTATAATCAAACAAAAACGCAGATGAAACCGCGGGACACAGCTAGTAATTATTACAAAACAATACTAAATTCGGCCTCAGCAATAATTGAAATTACGTCTTACGATACTTCTGTACAAGAATGCTACTGCG